TTAAAAAAAGCAAGTTAGTGTGATCTTAATAAAACCTTTGTACCGTTTCTAAGAACCGAAATCTTGTAAAACCTTACCAGAAGTTGTACCGATCTAGGGAAGCATATAAAAGAGCACCAAGGGTGAAGAAATCAACAAATCAAATACTTTGACTTGTTACTCGTTGGCCGGGGAGGTACTCCCTCATATGGGCTATATAGGTATGTGCGGCCCCAAAGGGTATGGTTTTTCAGCCGTTTTGGTCATAAATAGGTTATCGATTTTGGCCATTTTGGTCACAAATAGTGTATGGTTTTTGAACTCTAGTCTTGAATTAAGTATGTTTTTTAAAAGAAGCTACTTTTTCATCATTATGGATAACACAAAAGCCCTTCATAAATTATGTTTTGGGCAACTGTGTAAGCCGCAACGGTCATAAATAGGGCATATATTGAATCTTTGGTCAGGTCACAAATAGGGTAGGGAAAATCATAAATAGGGTAAGGGTTTTGGGAAGCGGGCCGCACACCCCCACTCAGTTTTTCTGGGAGTAACTCCCCTCCCCTCCCCTCCCCCGGATTCTCTAGTCCAGGCTGGGTCTCTCTCTATCACGCAACTCTACGCTCCCGGGAGAGGGACTTTACTCCTTGCGTGACAGTAGTTACTCGACTGATGATCACAAAATGTTCAGTGTCTGACTCCTTCGTAAACTATTCAGCTCCTGATTTTCACGAGTGGTGACAAACCGTTGTAGCTCTGCTATCTTTAAGAGTGCTACTTCTGGAAAAATTTAACAGTTTTCGTATCTTTTGATTTTCTCTCATACCTACTGATAGCGCAACGGCTGTTGTTAATAGAATGGATCACTGGTCATCCTCACAGTTCAGAAACAAATGTTATCCTTATTATTTAACTTAAAGACGTTCGCGCGAAAATTTTCAAGTCGATAGAGATTTTTTTTAAATTTTTGCTGCAGTCAGATAATGAGTTACTTGTGTCAGAAATGTAGAAGAAATTGGGGGTCATCGACCTCATTTCAGAGAAAAAGCGTGCGGAAAATTACTCTGATGTTGAAAAATTGGCGCGCGAAATTCAGCAAGGTCTACAGGAGTTTATAGTTAAAAATATCGAAGCTGAGTCAACGGAGGCAAACGATCTTAGTTATATTTTGTAGAAGTGGGTCTGTTGCGTCCACAGTAAGGATGCGCAGGAACAATTAGCGCGAACGTCCTTAAATGGTGTTATGTGGCAAATCAAACATCTTCGTAAAACTAGCCCAACTTTTCTATTATTAAATGTTCTAACTGATATTCAATCTTGATCCACCTATTAGACAATCCATTTCATGTGTCCACTTATTAAAATTACTAAAGACAATTTACCTTTAACTTTGGACATTTCGTTTTCTTGGTCCCTCAAAGGTCCTCAAACTCTTCGGCCCTGCGATCGCTTCAAAAGGGCTTCAAGTTCCTACATAGAAAAAAAGAAAACAGTCACCCCTAGCTAATGCGACCTGATCAATGGCCGAATGTTGCTCAGGAAATTTGGATGTCACTGGTTTACCAGTGCTATCTTTAAACTGGTAATGATTAAACACGACAAGAAGCTAAATGTAATATCCTTTCAACATTCGATCACTTACTACATTCAAGTACCAAATATTGTGAACTTTATTAAAAAATGAAAGAAAAAATATTGTTCGCCTCAGTGGGACAACAGAAACAGGAAACTAAGTTTAATTCGGTAAATAATTATTTACACTTTTCATTCTTTCAAAGAAAGCTTTTTTTTTCACCCAGCGGTGATCTGGATAAACAAAATCAAAAAGCATGTAACCTGCGGCTACCGGTAACGCTATAAAACTGTTGTCTTTTTAGAGTTGATCAAGTAAAAAGTTAGAAAATTCTACCCACAGCCAAAAACAAAGCAAACACACACACAGACACAAACCCCCCAAAAAAACAAAAACAAAAACAAAAAAAACCCCCGCAAATATGATAATTTCTTGTCACCTGGCAATTGGAAGCCATTTTAGGATAGTGGTCCAAACCAGCATCTGATAACGATGCTTCAATTTGCTTTGAAAAGAACCAATTCTTAAATGTTAAAATAACGATCAGCAACATTTCAAAAGTTGATACATTTTATTTAGAATGCTTATACAATATTTAACCGTTTCTCTGACTTGTATGTTCTAATTCTAATTTTAACAAGACTTACGGTTAGCTAGGTTGCACTCAAAGAAAAAAGAAAATGCTGTCATGTCTGCTGAAAGTCGTAAAGGTTCGATTTTCTTATTATGACCACGCGCCTTGTATAGCTGACGGGGCAATTCAAGCGTGTTTAAGGCGGGGCTCTATCTGAAATATGCCTTTTTTTGCAGTGTCGCAACCATGATTTTCATCAAAACTCTAACTTAATATACATCCAACTAAAAAGCTAATTGCTTGCAAATTATAATTGCTATGTCAATTATTGTAATTTGACACCGGGCTTTCAAAGTATCACATGCTGTGCATGA